TAAATACTTCTAGTTGTTTTTATAGTATTATATTAATTATTCTTTAAAAGGTTGCTAGTGTATTAGTAAGTCTAAAAGGCATTACTAAATATTTATAGTATTCTCTACTAGTTCTAAATGCTATTATCTACTTATAGCCTTTCTTTATTTATATAAAATTATAGGCTCCTTTTAAGTTAAGTATAGTAAACTATTTAGCTTTTCTTTTCTAACTTTATTTTATATTTCTATTATAAGTAGTAATAAGTATTAATTCTTAATTATAATTTTATTTAAGTATTAGTAATTAATATATAGTTATAGTTTTCTATTCTTCTTTAGTACCTATAGAATTAGGTATTCTACTAGGGACTCTAATAGTTATATATATTTCTTTTGTAATATATTCTCTAGATACTTCTTAAGCGCTTAGTCTTACTTAGAGTTCTATAAATAAATTCTACTAAACGTTAGTTTAGTATTAAGCTAGACTTTAATTTTATAGTCTTAGCGTATATACTCTAGTAGTTCTATTTCTAGCTCTCTGCTAAACAGCTTGCTATACTGTAAGTATTTCTTAGGATACTATAAGTATTTCTTAGGAATCTTTATTATATTAGCTTTTAGCTCTCTAGTAATTATATATATTTCTAGAGGCTTATTATAGTTTAAATAAAGTGCCTTCTATAGGCTGCTCTCTATTTTATAACTACATTCTAGTAAATTCTATTAAAGTTAGCTAGTTCTCTAATTAACTTATAGATTGCTTACTTGCAACTAAAGTATCCCTAATATAATATTATATTTTAAGATTACTATAATATTTAATATAACTTAGTGTTTTATACTTTATATATTAACAGGGAGATTTATAATTTCTATATTAACTACTTCTTAGCTATACTTTACTATAGTCCCTTCTATAGTTATAAGTTAGTAAGGCTTGTCTTTAGTTGTCTAAGGCAATTATAATTTATTAATAAGATTTAGTAAGATAAAATTTCCTTAAGCTCTACTATTAATTATTGCCTAGATCTTTCTTTCTATTATTATTATGTTAATTATAAAGTATGCTATACTACTAATGTTTGCAGTATATAAAGACCTATTAGATCTCTATTAAGGAATTAGTCTTAATTGCAATAATAGTTATTATTTCCTAATTTATTAATTCCTCTCTTATATTGCTTAGCGCGCTATATTAGCTGCTATCTTTATTAATTATCTTTTAATAGTTTATTAAAGCTTCCCTAGTAATTACTTAATTTACTATCTATATTAATTAAACTTAAGCTAAGCAAGTTGCTTATAGTTATATAGTTTCTATCTTTCTTGCATTATAAAAGTATAGTTTAAGTAGTATATATATTGTCTATAGTATAGTATAATTTTCTATTTAATATCTTTAAGTTAGTTCTTTATAATTTAAGTTATATTATAAGAGTAGTTCTTCTTTTCTCTTTTTGTCTTTATAGAAACTATCTACTACCTTACTTGCTGCTAAGGTATATATAGCAGTTATTATTATAACAAAAGGTCTAATTAAGAAGTCTGTATTTAATTTTAAGTTTATCTTTCTTAGTTAGATAAATATACTCTTTATAGATTAGTTTTAGTAAAGGTTTGCTCCTTAGTAATAGCATTCTATGTTCCTAAAAGTTATTAGGTACTAGTTAGGTTCTAAGTTCTTAATCTCTATCTAAACTAGTATAGTTTGCTATTATATAGTTTCTTTTATTGCTTGCTATACTTAAGTTTTATATAGGCAAGTATTCTTAATTTGCAGTATAAAGCTTTCTATCTTTAGGAACTAGCTTCTATAGCTTCTTAGAGCTTTAGCACTTATTTGCAAAGTGTTTAGTCTTACTATAATTATAATAAGTCTTCCCCTTTTCCTTATTTACAGCATTAAGTTCTATTAAGCCTAAGTGTATTCTATAAGCTATAGATTTATAACAATAGCGTCTAGTATTTAGCTAATATTTCTATAGTAGACTTGCGCAATTTCCTGCGCTTCTTCCTCTATATTCCTCTATATTTAAGTTGTCTAGCATAGAGTTAATTATTAATTTTAATAATCTTACTAGTAAATTTATTAAAAGAGCTAGGTTAGTCTTCTTTTGCGACTTTATTCTTTATATCTTTATATAGAGCATTATAGAGTAGCTTTATTATGCTATTATTATTCTAGTTAAGAGATGCTAAAATACATTAAAATTCTCTAATAAAGTGTTAAGTAGATTCTATCTATTTAAGAGTTTTAATTTTGCATATTGCTGTCTAGACCTTATTAAGGTCTTTAAAGGCTGTCTTAAGTTTCTTTTTAAAATTTATATAGCAGTTAAAAATCTAAGCAGTTTTATTCTTAAGTAGATTATTATTAAGGTAGTCCCTAAGAGTTAGCTCCTACTATTCTATAGCTTTTCTAGTAAGAAGATTTCTAATGTAAAGTATCTTTACTGCAGAGTTAGCAATAGTAGTATTAACTTAGAGGTAAGCTTTTGCCTAGGTAAGAAAGGTATATATATTTCTCTTAATTCTATTAAATAGTTTAAGTTTAGGAAATTTAGAGAGAGTAAGTGCTTCTTTCTATTTAAATTATATAGCTTAAATCTATATAGTAAGATCTATAATTTGTTATTCTATCTGCATAATAGCTTAGGCAGAGTTAGTAGTGTTTCTGCTTGCTATTAATATTATAAAAGTTACTACTTATAGTTTAAGGTAACTTACTAAATAGAATTAATTAAAATATAATAGTAGCTTAGGTTCTAAGATATAGTAAGTCTGTTTCTTAGAAAGTAAGTTAAGTTAAACGCTATAGAGTAGCTATTAAGCAGTATTACAATAAGGCTGTTAAGAGTATAACTCTTAATAGTAAAACTATTACTTAAATTAATTAATAGAGAACTAGACTATTTACTACAGCAGAATACCTCCTCCTTAAGTACTTATCTATCTCTCTATTATAGACTAATAATTACCTTAATTATTTATCTATTTATTAATCCCTAACTTATAGCAATTAATAAGTAATCTAATAATTACTTAGCTTATAGTAATTAATAGGTAATTTATTAATTACTTTATAATTACATAACCTAGCACGTAACGTCTTAGTTCTCCCTTGTTATAGCTGTGCCTTCCCTAGTGCGGCCTAGTCCTTCCCGCGTTTAGTAACGTTTGTACCACCTAGCTATTTAAATTAACGGAAATTTAACAGCAGAGCTATTTATATTAGTAGATACAGCTTATGCTAATAATAAAGGCTCTAGAAAATCAACATAGAGCCTTCTAATTTAACTATTTAAGGCCCCTATTATCTAGTTAGCAACTAAACAAGCTACTATAACGACTTTATCTATAGAGGCCGAATTACTAGCTATTTTAGCTATTGCAAAAGAAACTATAGCCTTTTTAAGGCTTATATCTTAACTAGGCCTAAAATTAGAGGCTAAAAAACCT